ATATATAATACATCATTTTCTATTTTACAAAACAGTGATTTTTAGTTAAGTTTATTAAGTTGTGTATCCATCACCACAAATCAGTTTTAAAACACTTTCATCACTCTACTATGACCTCTTATGCATTTACTGCTGATGTATATTTCCTACCACACCCAAATCAAACAACCACAATTTTTTTTCTTTATAATTTTGCCTTTTCAAGATATTGCATAGCAATGGTATCACATAGTCTGTATTTAGTTCAACTGACATAATGTTTTTTGAGGTTCATCCAGAGAGGCATACATCCGAGGCATGTTCCTTTTTTTTAAATTTTTTTTAACTTTTTCTATTGTTTTTAAGATTTATTATTTATTTATGCATAGAAGAACTGGGGTAAAGGCCAGAGGTAGAGGGTTGAGAGGATTCACCAGAGACAGAGTGGGGAACAGAACAGGTGGATCTAGCAGTGGGCGAGACAGGAGAGGTCTGCTGTGCCAAGGGCAGGTTCCTTTTTGTTGCTAAATAATATTCCACAAGATATGCTGCATATGTTTAAAGTGTCAATTTATTAAGTTTGATATACATATACACTTGTGAAACCACCACCAGTCAAGATAACATGTCAAATATCCTCCTTTGCAATATTGCTTTACCACCCTCCCCTTCTTTTCCCCAAGGCAATTACAGGTCTGCTTTCTGTTGCTATACGTTACTTCACATTTACCTTAATTCTATGAAAATAGAATCATCCAGTATGTATTCCTTTTTTTCTGATTTGTTTCACTTAACACAATTATTTTTAAAGCATGTATCAATCGTTTCCTTTTTATTTTTATTTATTCATTCATTCATTCATTCATTCATTCATTCATTCATATAAGCACTGGGTACAGTCAGAAGCGCAAGAGGGTGAGAGAATTCACCAGAGCTAGAGCGGAGAGCAGAATAGGCAGACTGATAAAGTACACTGCTGAGGGGAGCAGCCGGTGGCAGGAGAGGTCTGCAAGCCATGTGGGACCCTCGCCCGGTGGCCGGGGATCAAACCGGCGCTGCAGAGGCTGCGGGCAGCTTTGCAACGCAGCGCTCAACCACTGCGCCACCGGGGAAGCCCCATTTCCTTTTTATTATTGAAAGAATATTCTACTGCATAGAACTATTCCTGAACTATTTGTTGAAGTCTATCATTCTCCATTTAAAAAGCCTTTTATATTTTGTGTCTTCTTTTTGGACTTGATTGTATTGATCATTTTGTCTCTTTTGACATCCGTACCACACTCTCCTAATTGCTAAAGTTTTATAAATCTTGAAATCAGATAAACTTCCAACTTTGCACTTTGTCGAAGTTGTTTTGAGTATGCTAAATTCTTTGTATTTTCATATGATTTTAAAATCAGCTTGTCAATTTCTACAAAAAAAAGTTAAATGGGATTTTGATTACAAATGTGCTAGAGTCTCTAGACTACTTTGGGAAAAACTGACTTCTTAACAATTTGAGTTTACTTATCCATGAAGATGTACATCTCATCATATACTCAGATCTTTCTTAATTTCTTTCAACTATATTTTGAGGTTTTTAGCGTCTGTTCTTCCCCATCTTTCACATCTTTTGTCAGATTTATCCCTACATATTTTGTATTTTGACATAATTATAAGTGCCATTGTTTAATTTTAATTTCTAATGTTGCTGCCCTTATACAGAAGCAAAATTGATTTATTGTATATTGATTTTGTATCCTGCAACCTTATTTCAATTTACTTCTTTGTTCTGGTAGCCAGATCATGTCATCTGTGAATGACAGTTTTACTTCTACCATTCTAATGTGGATGCCTCTCTTTATGGTCTAATTGCACTGCCTAGAGTCCTTAGCTCAATAATGACTAAATGCTGCCAGAGTAGATATCCTTGTCTAGGAGAAAAACACTCTTTCACCACTAAGTATAACAGCAGTTGCTGTTTTTCCTTACTTGCCTTTTATCAGGCTGACGACATTGACTTCTATGTATGAAATGCTTGTTGGTATTTCTTAATCAGGAATAAATGTTGGATTCTGTAAATTGCTTTCTCTATTCTACCAAGGTGAGCACATGGATTTTGATTTTTAGTATGCTAATATGATGAATTAAAATGATTGTTGAAAGTTAAATTAACCTTCCATTCCTAGGATCAACCCTACTTGGTCATGTTATCCTTTTAGTATATTGCTGAACAATTTTTTTGCTAAAATTTAGTTATTAACTTTAACGTCTGCACTCATAAATAATACTGGCCTATTGTTTTCTTGTCTAGTTTTGGTATTGTGTATAAACAATTAATGATTGTTTTAGGTGGAAGGTAAATCAGTTCCTGTTTTTCAACTTAGCCAGCGGTAGAAGTTAATGTCATTAGCTCATCTTCTCCTTTCTGGCCAAAAAGTATGTATCATTATTAACCTCATTTGACATATAGAAAAGATGGCAAATGGGAGAAACCTGGGGCTCAGGAAGCAAGGTGGTCCAGTTCTAAATAGGATTTGAATCCGGGTTGTGAATCTAAAACTCACTCTCGAGGCAATTTGCAGCAACATGGATGGAGCTGGAAGGGATCATGCTCAGTGAAATAAGCCAGAAAGAAAAAGAAAAATACCAGATGGTCTCACTCATAGCAGGAATCTAGAAAACTTAAGTAAGGGACCAGGAAAAAGAATAACTATAAGAAAGAAAATATCAAAATCAACAAACAACTATGAACCAGACACACTCTATGAGGTGTGGGGGGCGGGAAAGGAGGGACTGGGGTCAAAATAAGGGGGTTATAATTGTATGGGGAATATAAAAATAAAATTTAAATAAAAAAAGAGGACAAAAAAATAAATAAATAAAACTCGCTCTCAACCTCCTGCTACACTATACTATCATATTGAAGTAGCATTCAAAAAAGTACTCTCTTTAAACACATAGATTAAGGTCTTTCTCATTAAGAAAAATAATTACATAGCATACAGCAATGAAAAAGAGCAGTCTATAACTAAATGCAATTATATGCATCAATCTCATAGACATATGTTGAATGAAAGAAGTCAGGCAAAAAGCAGTACATAGCTAACTCTGATTCCACTTATAGGAAGTTCTGGAACAGACAAACTTATCTGTCATAATTGTACTTAGAACAGTAGTTTCTTGGGGGAAGGGAATACTGACTAGGAGGTGCAAAAAAGGATTTTCCAGGGTTCTGGTATTGCTTTATATTCTGATCTGAGTATATATCATTAAGTTGGACATTTATGATTTGTAGAAGTTATCAGAAAAAAAGAATTTTATCTCTAAAAGATTCAGGTAGTCTAATCTGGAACCCATATGTCTTAATCACTATGGTAGTCATTGAAAAGAATAAATGAGAAGCTATGGTTTCTAATACTCCGAATCCTAAACTATTAACTCCTAAATATAGTAGAAACAATTTTTTTTTTAAAGATTTATTTATTTATATAAGCACTGGGTACAGTTAGAAGCACGGGAGGGTAAGAGAATTCACCAGAGCCAAAGTGGGCAGCAGAACAGACAGACTGATGAAATACATTGCTGAGGGGAGCACTGGGTAGCAGGAGAGGTCTGTGCGCCCTGTGGGACCCTCACCCAGTGGCTGGGGATCGAACTGGTGCTGCAGAGGCTACAGGCAGCTTCGCAACCCAGCGCTCAACTGCTGTGCCACCGGGGAGGCCCTTAAAAACTTTTAATAAATCTCCCAAACCACACTGTAAAATAGGTATTGCTATAAATTTTAAAGATGAGGAAATGTGAGACACAACAACATTAAGAAACTTCTTTAAAGTCACCACTTAAATAGCAGAACACGTATTCAAGATCAAGTGTTTATAGCCCCAGAATAATCTCTTAAAATTCATACTGGGTTTTTTTTCCTTTACATTACAATTTTGTCATCCCTAAGAAATGAGAAGCACTCTCAAGGATCATTTGGGAACAAAGAAATTCCAACATCAGACTCTAGTAGAGCTTTGTGACAAATGGATTGAAGCAAAGCTTTGATGACAATGAGGGGTGTCCTACTGTTTGTATTATACCTGCTCTGTCCTCTTTTTAATGCAAGCTTTACTTTCAGAAAATTAACTGAGTGCCTTTTTTGTATTTCTGATGATCTACAGTGGGCACAAATGAATTAGCTTAGATTACTAACAATTGGGTATAATGCAGAATTCCTCTTAAGAGTAGGTGGTAGGAAGAAAAACAGTTATTCAAATAATTTTAGTCATGAGGCAAGATGGCACATGGTTAAAGAGCCTAGAGCTTAAAGACTGTCAAGGTTCAAACACCTATTCTAATTTAAACTAGAGGTAAGACCTTGAACAAATTACTTACCCTCTTCGGCTTTCAAACCTTCATCTATAGAATGGACATGAAAAATTTACCTCTCCAATTACATAGGCATTTTAGAGATTCTTTAATAAAATAATAGCAAATTAGTAAATATTTAAAAACACTAGATTTATATGACTTATAAATCTGACATATCTATAATAATGTCCAGGATATGGTTTTGGAAATCAATTTCCAGCATCTTCTGTAAATAGACAATTTTTAAAAAATAAAGGTTGGGATAATCACCCACAATTTATAAAATTAAAGCAAATTCCTCAACACCATTAAAGTAGTATTAAACACCTACTATGAGTTCAGCTTTATACAATGTTCTTTAGAGGACATACAAGATCTAGATCATAGTCTCAAGCTTGAACTATTAGAATAAAAAATATTTTTTTTTTACTTAGCATAGAATATCATCAAATAAAGCAAAATACAAGTAAATGTCAGTGAGTGGCATATAACTCTGGAAGGAAGGAATTCTTAAGCACCATTAAAATTTATGAGTTCAATCTATAGAACAAACAAATTACCTATGTGCATATTTAGGGCCACTCTTAACGCTAGTAAGTCTAAAAAACTGGTATATTATCAATTATTAAAGAAACATGTAAGCAAAAAAGAAAGAGGTTTATTTAATAACCTCCACTGTAACTTACCATTGCTATTTTGGTCTTAAGAAAGTTCTCCTTTTCTTCATCTACTTTAATTTCAAGTCCAGTTTTAAATAATTCAAGCATTTTGGGAATGTCACGGCCAATGGAATCTGGTTAGAAAAATTACAAATCTGAAGTTATCACTATATCTAAACAAGTAGTAAAAATTACTCATTAAGAGAAACATTCATCTCATGTTAAGATATAGCAAATAAATTGTGGTAGATGGACTACATGGTGGGCCCATTTTCTGTGTTCATGTCCTTAAGTGTAGATGAGACCTGCAACTTGCTTCTAACAAAGAGACAAGATGATTATGTGTACACGATTACATTATCTAAAAATAATACCTGTCTTAAGAAAGTCTTCCTATTTGCTTTGATAAAGAAAGCTGCAATGTTGTGAGCTGTCACATGATAAGGCCATGGGGCAAAAAACTGAGGCCTTCAGTTCAGCAGCCTTCAAGGAACTGAATTCTGCCAAAAAGCTAAAGAGGATAAAAGAGGATCCTTCCCAGTCAGGTCTCAGATGAGACTGCAGCCCCAGTCAAGACCTGATTGTAATTTCTTTTTATTTTTTTTTTATAATAAATTTTATTTTTATATTCCCCATACAATTGCAACCCCCTTATTTTGACCCCAATCCCTCCCCTCCCGCCCTCTATCCCCCATAGAGTGTCTCTGGTTCATAGTTTTTTGTTGATTTTGATTTTCACTTTCTTATAGTTATTCATTTTCCTGGTCCCTTATTTAAGTTTTCTAGGTTCCTGCTATGAGTGAGACCATCCGGTATTTTTCTTTTTCTTTCTGGCTTATTTCGCTGAGCATGATCCCTTCCAGCGCCATCCATGTTGCTGCAAATTGCATGTGTTTATCTTTTTTGAATGCTGAGTAATATTCCATGGTATATATGTACCACATCTTCTTGATCCATGTGATTGTAATTTCATAACACCCTTATGTAGAGAACCCAGCTTAGCTGTACACAAAGAAACAGAATGCTGTTTTACATCACTAAATTTGTGGTATTATCACTGTGATATAAAAAATAATATGTACAATGATGATGCCTATCATAATTAGAAATATCAATGACAAAATAAAATCTATAAAATAATTTACAGTAAAAGCTAAAAGAACAGACTTGGAATCTTTTAAAAATCTTTGACTACTTTTGTGTAAAATTTGTTTGACTTATCTTCCCATAAAGAAGGAAAGAAACTAGAAAAGTCACAGGATTTAGCTGTGGAAATAATTATTACAGTGAATGATGCAGTCCATAGGCAGCTCATTAATGCACAAATGGCTATACATTTTAGCATGAAGAAAGTAATAATTTAATAACTCATATTTAATTTATTCAACTGTAATGTCTATCCTCATTTATGGTGGGCAAAGAAATGCAACTAAATATGAAAAAAGAAAAATTGAATCAAGATAAAAATTAAGACTTTTTATATGATCACACAGGAGAATCCAAAAATAATGCCTTCCTAATATTTAGTGATTAACACTGAACTCAAATTTAATAGATAAAAACATACTAAGTATTCCATGATACCATAAATTACCTTGAAAAATTTTCAGTTGTGTGTAGACAACATGAATTGTTCAAAGTAAAAAATACAATAAATTGCCACTAAAGATACACCACTCCCCACTGTGTTTTCAGTAATTCTTCCCATAGGTCAATGTGAAGGCATTAATGTAAGGTACCAGATACCCTCCACAAATAATATTCAAAGCATTACCTGAGAAGTTGTTCATTATTTTAGGATCTTTTTAGCTGGAATTGAAAGCAATTACCCATAAGTTCAATTGGAAGGAAAGACAGGTGTAGATGGAATAGCTACTGAAAAAACTAGCAAGTTTTTTTAGTGTCACATTCTGATGTAACTGAGTATTAAATAACATGACAGTCAGTATAATAATAAATAGTAAGATGCTCACAGTGGTGTACAAAAAATAGGCAGTGGTGAAAGCATTCTATATCTCTAAACTCAAATATATTTTTTATGTTTTCTTAAGAAAAGTGCCTTGTACAGAGTAAGGAGATAAAAAATTATCTCTTGACTAACCTGACTATAAACACAACACTGCCTTCCTTCCTGTCACTATGAATGAACAGTCTATGCTCCTACTGAAAACCATCCTCTTCAACTGTAACTGAATCCCACTCCTGCTCACCTAGCTACGGATATAGATGCTCCCTTTTCTCCTCTACAAATTTGTTCTACTTAGATCAGCAGCAGCAGCTTAAAAACTTCCTATAAGAATCTTTCTGTCTTAAAATAAAACATCTACAAATTTCACATTGTCTTCAAATGACCACCCAAACTGACTTCTTAAAAGCATACAGTCTCAAAATAAAAAGTTGTCTATCCTTTCTGTCTCTATTTCCTCTCCTTTTTTTTTACACTTGATCTTAGCCAAAAGGTCGAGAAGCGATCCTCCTCTCCTTTTTTTTTAAGATCTCCTTCAAATTAGGTCCTCATCCCCATTACACCACTGAAAATAATATTGTCAAGATCACCAATGACCTTCACTTTTGCAAATCCAATATTTATTTCTCAGTGTTCCACTGACTTTCCCCGTACCAGCAGTTCAGGGAATGAATCTCTCCTTTCTCTAGAATGTGTTGACTTGTACTCTGAAACACTACTCTCCCAGACTGTTCCATGTAAATCTTGTTGGCTGATCTACCCTCACTCAGATGATTTCCAAAGGCTGAATTACCTCAGGGCTCAGTCATTTGACTCTCTCTTTTAATCTATACATACCTCCCTAAGTGATCTCATATAGATACAAGGCTCTATATACCATTTATCCACTGATAACTGCCAAGTTTTATTTCCAACCACAACCTCTGTCATGACCTCCAGCCACTTACTTGATATTCCACCCTGATGCAGGCAGATAATTAGAAAAGAGTATAATATGACAAATGTTTGTTCAAAGAATGAACAAATAAATGACTTCATAATTTTGAGCCTGATATAAGGGTGATGTTGTAATGATAATGGGTGATAAAAAAATAGGAATAAGGTTTACAAAGGGAAGAGAAATATCTCTGCATTAAAACAGATTAAAAAAGAAGTATGAACCTGTACCACTGAATCAAAGTGTTAGAAACCAACGTTACCTTAATAAGAAAATAAACTTTAAAAAATTAAATAAAACATATTGAAGTGAAGTTGTTGATGGAATATTAAAAAAACTGCATACTGTGTATACAGTTCAAATAAGAAATTAAAAAAAAAAGTGACAGATTGGGGATGATGGTGCAAACTCAAGATTTTAAAGCAGTCCATAATAAAACATAAAAGTAAAATCCCCTTTCTTTAACCTTTTATATTCTTTTTTCTATTTCTCTTTCCCTTCTATTCAAAAGTTGTGGGTGATAATTTGCATTTCCTTAATGACCAAGTTATTGAATATAATTTCAGGTACTTAATAGCCAGTCACTTTTTTTTTTTTTTTTTGATAAAGTGTCTGCTCAATTCCTTTGCCCACTAAAAGAAAATTGGGTTGACAGCCTTCTTACTGAGTTATAGGAGTTCTTGATATATTCTGGACATATTATTTTCACTGGTCTCCATTCTTAAGGTTTTTATCATCCTGATTTCACGACCCTATCACATATAGTCACAAATGTCATTCTAATAACCATATAGTTATTATAGTCATTTCACATATAATCATTCTAATAACCAAATCTCATAATTTTCTTCTGAGCAATATTTTTTTTTTTTAAGATTTATTTATTTATCCATACAAGAACCAGGGTATAGGCCAGATGCACGTGAGGGTGAGAGGATTTACCAGAGACAAAGGGGGAACAGAAAAGGCAGACTGATGAAATACACTGCTGAGGGGAGCAGCGGGCAAGACAGGAGAGGTCTGCTGTGCCATGTGGGACCCTTGCCAGCCGGCCGGGATGGAACTGGCGCTGCAGAGGCTGCAAACAGCTTTGCAGCACAGCGCTCAACTGCCGGCGCCACCAGCAGAGGCCCTGAGCAATAGTTTTAAATGGCTCTTATATGTACAAACAATAAATTCTAACTTTCATGGTATGGCACACAATGCCCTCCTGATCTGGGCCACTGCCTATCACTATCTGACCCTACTGACTCCTGCTATCTGATAATACTTTATGTACCAAATGATGAAAAGCTACTTATAATTTACAATTTCCTGAACACAACTGGTTCTCTAACATCTTAGTGTGCTATTATTAAAGCCCATTTCCTCTGCCTGAAATGTTCTCCTCATGCATGACGGGGGGAAAAATGTCTATTCATGCTTAAACTTTCAACTTAACTGCTACATTCTTTTTATAATCTGATTCTACAAAGTAGTTCCTTCTTCCTCTAAGAACTTTGCACATTTCACTAATATTTCACTAGTACACTCTCTGCATTTTAGCGCAGCAATTTGTTCTCATTTTTCTAGCCCCTGAATTTTTATCTCCTTAAAGATAAAAACACCAATCCTCATTATTAATTGTACCACACGGCACATAGTAATCAATAATTATCTGCTTAGGGCCTCCCTGGTAGCATAGGGGTTAAATCTCAGCACTGTCACACTACACAGCTGTGGCCTGAGTTGGATCACTGGCCAGGGAGGTGACCCACATATGGAGCACCAGACCTCTCCTGCCTCGCCCACTGCTCCCCTCAGCAGTGTATTTCAGTAAGATCTGCTTGTTCTGCTCCCCACTCTGTTTCTGGTGAATCCTCTCACCCCCCGCACCTCTGGCCTACACCCCAGTTCTTCTATGCATAAATCAAATCTTTAAAAAAAATCTGCTTATTCAATAAATGAGTTATGAAGGTAGAAATGACATGTGAAGAGATGAAAAAGAATGAGTTACTCTAAAATAATGGTAGAGAATGAATAACTACTTTAGGAACTGTAGTGGTCAATAATAATAGAGGCTCAGGTATAGTATGTACTTGCTATATACTCAGTCTGTGCTGAGCTCTTCCAAACATAACAAAAACACTATGGGAAGATGTCATGAAAATCATCTGTAGATGAGTAGAGGCACAACAAATGTTAAAAATTTATTTCAGATCAGTGTAAATAATAAAGCCAAGACTAAGAGA